AACAAAGAATATCACAATAAAAATATTACTAATATTATTAATATTAGAAGATATAGTTAAGTAAGGTAAATAAATATAATAATAAAGGATGCAAAATAAGGATAAGTAACACAATTCTTACACCGTATGCATTGTATTTGAGAGGGACAGAATCTTTTTGCATTCCATGCAAGCAAGTTCATGTACGAATTCACCTCAAATACAAATTTGTTTAGTTAGGACAAAAAGGGACTTAATGTTATTCCCCAAATCAGGTAACGAATGAAAGTAATAGCAGCTGCTTCATTACCATTCTCTTTCTGGAAAACCGCCCTCAGTTTGGGAACTTTGCTGAAGTCGACCCGCCTCCACTCCTCATCCTCCGACACGACCACGTCAGGTTTGCCTACAAAACCACGTCAAGGTCAGATATGTGCTACGTTAAGTTAATGACCAAGGTCACTGGCCCTAGGGCAAGTTGCTGTACCTCTCTGGGGAATGCTAACTGGTACAATCTCCTTGGCCAGAAGGCCAGACTCGTATGCTGCCTTGCTGCGGCTGTATGAGCCGATGGCGTAGGTGTCCTGCTCCTCTCTGGTGATGCTGCAATTCTTGGCTGTATTCTCTGCACAGTTGCCCTGTTAAAGACAGTAAGGGAAAAGCCACAGAAAAGAGATCAAATACGAAAATGGTATTATTGAGACGGACACACACACACACACGATTCCCTGACCTTGTTGTCCAGACTTACGAAAACCCCCACCCAAACAGAAAACTCTGTCAGTCATGAGAATAATGTCTTGACATTTTCAACCATCGCTTGATAGTTACCATGTGGAATTTGTTGTAGACATCAGTGAGTCCATCCTTGACAATAAGGTCTTCCATCCTTACTCCTCCGTAGGCTGGAGTCTCTCTGGTCATCACGTAAGGTACATTGGACATGCTCTCCATGCCTCCTGCCACCATCACATCCTAAAAATCACACACAGACAGCCACGCACTTAACTGGAGTAACAACTATTATAGTCTGTTGTCGATTGTCTGACACTGAACCTCAATCCCTGATATCTGCGTAACTCGAGTGAATGTAGAGCCCGACCAAAATCTGTCCACCGATATCATCTCTCAGCAATGTCAACTAGAACTGGTTCATAATGTGAACAATTATTTAACAGGTGTTCCCAAACTTTTCCATGTGAAGGCCCCCTTAGCTTATAGTCAGGGCCCCCTTTTGCAAGATGTCTTTGAAAACCTCACTTTTATTTATGCAGTAATAATTACATTTGTATTTAAAATCTGTAATCATGACATCAGATTCAATATTTGCATTATAAGAATTGTTTCAGTTTAGTTTCTTATGTTTAAGACATTAAGTTATTTATTTCAGAAAACAGCCTTTCAAGGACCCTTGCATCATCACATCAGTGCACAATCCACACAGAAAAGGATTATTTTCATTCCAGCTAAAAACATTCACTATATATCGGCTGCCAAATTGTTATTGGTCTCAAAAATCCCATATCGGTCAGGCTCTAGTTGCATGCGTATGACTGGTATGAAAGGTACATTTTTCTGTAGCTTATTGAGTTTCACAGGATTTGGTAATTTGGTAATTACAGTCCCAAGGCCAAGTCTATGAGACCATGCTATAATAGGTCAAGTTATCAAGCAGTTTATGGCAAATAAAGCTTGTTTTTGGTCATAACAGAGTTTTCCATTTTCTTGTCAGAGATCAGATGTGTGTTTGGTATATGTACAGTACATTGTACAGTGTATTTAATGCTAAAGCTACCTGGTGTCCACACATTAGACTCTGAGCTGCCATCATGATGGACTTCATCCCAGAGGCACAGACTTTGTTGATGGTTGTTGCTGGAGTGCTGAGGGTCAAGCCTGAAGATAACAAATAATAAAACAAAACATTAGCTTTCAGCTTTTCTGTAACTTTTTATATGAACAATGGTCTAAAAAGGTCTCTCAGAGCTGTTGAGAGAAACCGTGCATGCGTCACCTTGCAGCTGAAAGCTTTTGTAGCTTTGGTCATACATTACAGATTAATAAAGTATACAGAGATATTAGCTTTGAAGAGATGGTAATTTTGTTTTTTTGTACCCGTGTCAATCATTTTGAATTTGTCAATATATCATCTCTGTATCTGGTTTCTGGACATCAAAGTTTGGTGCAATGCCAATATTTGGAATGAGGGTGAAAATATACCAGTGTGCTTATACCTGCTCCGAGCAAGGCCTGTCTTGTGGGGGCCTGGCCTTCTCCTGCCTGAAGCACATTGCCCATGTAGACTTCCTTTACCTCTTCAGGAGTAATTCCTAAACACAAGAAACATGAAGTCAACTCACTAAACACACACACAGCCAGTCGCCCACTCTACTGTTATCTGTGTATTAGCTTAGCCATGCTTGCACAGGTGTGCTGGTGGTGATGATCAGCTGATGTTTCATGTATTCCTAAATGGAGGAGAATACTTTTCTCTAAATAAAGTTGACCATCTGAACATACCTGCTTTCTCTATAGCTCCCTTAATGGCAATGGAGCCCAGTTTGGTGGCTGGTACAGCTGCCAAGGTGCCTTTGAAGGAGCCCATTGGAGTGCGGACTGCGCTGACAATGACGACCTCCTGAATCCATTCAAAGCTGAATTACAGTGTGCAGTCCAAACATTGTGTTAAGATGAGAATTTGAAAGTGAAAAGTCTCCTGTCACTTACATTGAGCGAAGGGCGAGATGTGTAGGTTCTTGAGAGGTACTTGTGAGCCTACAATGGCAGGATAATGATTAAAGGATGATCATTCATCTTCCATACACGAGAGAGTTCCTATTTCTAATCCCATCTCTCCAAAAGTGTGCTAAAGCTCCTTGATACAATTTGGGGTCACATTAGTCAAGTTTAAAGCTAGCAGAGAAGCATGAGAAATACGTTAGCTAGGCTAACAATAAAAGAAGACACAGACATGTAAGTTAACGCTTATATTAGCTAGCAACCTGTGACCAAACAGGGGCTTTTACTGCTTTTAAGCTAGGTGTCGAGTCAGTCTAACTTGTACGGCCCATCTTTGGCTTTTAATATCCTCAGTTATGCTAGCTACTGTTGTTATTTTTCTCCTCAGTTATTTTATGGATTAGCAGACCTTGCTGCTAACCGTTTACACAAACACAGCTTCAGTAAAGCGCCCGGGCCAGCTGGAGCAGTTATCAGGTGTTTCCAGGCTGTAACATTACTTTGGTCAAGGACGCTCCGCAGACACAACAAGGCTAGCTGAGCTGCTGTAAGTTAACCAGGGCCTTGTGTTTACAGCCAACAGGACACTTACTAAAACTAGCATTTCCATGCAATATAACGAGAGCAGGCAAACCAAACTGATTCTTTTACACACCCTCACTTACCAGGCGTTTACACATTTGAGCGTGCATGGTTAAAAGTCCACTGGATGACATTTTGGACTCGGAGACGGGACTGTGACTCACACACTTGGACCCGCTTCACCTTCAGACAGCCATGCAGCGGATAAATACATCAGCCAATCACAGTGAGAGGTGTGCCCCCCAGACGTCATCGTCAGCTGGGAATTATGGTTATTGTAGTTTTATCAATGAAATCACAAAGCGTGTTTATTATTATCAAATATAAGTTATTATATTGATAATTTACCATTAACATATATAAAAACTACTTTTAAAATTCCTAAAAAACATAATCAATTAATGTTTATTTATTATCTTTACATTTTTAATTCTGTCGGAAAAAGTCGGAAAAGTCATAGGTCTACTGATATTTTTTTTTCAGCAGTTTTATCATGTATGATATGAACAATATATTATAAAACAGTGAATGTTCATATGTTTTTTATTTCATAAAAATTGTAAATGTATTATCTTCATTACCTTATCACTAAAGGACAATTTAACCGTTTGGTTAAGCACATGTATTGACCGTAAAAGAGTCCTACTTATGAAAGGTGTTGGGCAGTAATGCATTTACAATTGCAATTACAGTAATATAACTTTCCCCAGTAATGAGTAGTGTAACTCATTTATAATAATATTTTAGTAATATTACAACTACTCTTCACAGAAACTAATGGCACTGGAAAATGTATATTTTTAAAGTTTTTCTTACACACGTCTTCGTGGGGTCCAGACCCAAATGGATAGGAACCACTGGCATAGAGAATAGTGGAGCAGAGTTTACTGTCCTTGTAGTACAAAGTATCACTAAAAACTACTGTTTGAACCTACTTCACAGTGCAGTTTGATACTTCCCAAAATAGCAGCACTGAGCGTTAGTCAAACTACAGAAACAGAATACTCTGCACTGCAATATTGCATTTGAAGGGTCACAAAGCCCCCTGCGTCCATGTTGGTACATGGGCCAAAGTACACATCAGATAAATTTTTCCCAAAGATGGTTTCTGTCATTTTAAGTAATTCTTATCACATTGATGCACGTTCAAGTGTTAATTCTTCTGATAAGTTTGATTTTAATTACTGCCTGTTTTAGCTATAAACAGGGAGACAGGCTCTTAAAACGATGATGCTAACCCTGATCACGTAGAAACCACATGAACAAGGCATCCTCTCTCTTTCAGATCCTACCACCTAGGGTACTCTTGTACAACTAAGGCACTTAAAATGATAACTGTGGTTCTGCAATTTTGAGCGTGTGTGATTGTTTCCTTTTGCTCTCATCGCTCTCAGCAGCATGACTCCTCTGGGTTCTGGGAAAGATAAATGATCTCCTACTTAAGTCACCTGCACTTAAACACAAACCAGAGTTGCCAGATTCCCTTACATGCCTTCAAGCACATCCTAATTCAAAAACTTACTCAGGTACAAAGAAGAAGCATTCAAACTCATTCTTGATGTTATGTTCACTTTTAAAGACTTGTTGTTTAATGTTAATGTTTAATTTATACAGGCAGAAGAAAAAACATTGACTACAACTAGGTGTCGCCTACAGGATTATTATACAATTTCATTATGTATTTCTTTGCAGGTTTCTACAGAAAAGCCCCCTTAAAGATCCCCTCCAGGCAGTCGGCTTGGAAAAATAATGTGTGTCAGATATGTTTTTTCCACAAAGAAAAAGTATAATTTCCACATTAAAAATTCCAGAATATATGAATATGCATTTTTTTCATTTCTACAATGGTCCTGCTGGACACAAGATGTGTCCAACTTTAACACTCTAAGTCCTTCCTTCTAGTGTGACACTATGGACATACATGATTCTGTACAGTGTCGCTCAAACATCCAACTGTAGGAACAAGAAGGAAAACATATTTTTGACTTTAAGCTACTCAAATTTTGTTAGTGGAGTAGACCATAGCTATTATGTGCCCACAGGTGTGTGTGTGTGTGTGTGTGTGTGTGTGTATTTGGGTCTTTGTTTCTTTAGTTGCAATCCAACCATCCATAGTTTAACAGAATGCGCCGCACTTTTCTTCGTTGGTAGTGGTACTCTGTCTGTCTGGATCCGTATGAAAAGTACAGATAACCTGAAAACAGGGATGCATCATTATTATCACCCCAAACAGGAAGTCATAATGCTACTGTAGAGGGTCTAACCTTTGACTGTTTCCTACCTCCGTTCTCAAATGCAGCATCCACTCTGTAGCCAATCCCAGGGAGCGCTCTGTGAATGAATTTTGGGTACCCACCATCCATTCTGCCCCTTCTTTCATTGTAGCTATATGGGTAATATGGGGAGGAGTTCATCAACATGTAGTCTATGGATTCTGGATTCAGCCTAAATCTTTATGGCTTGACATTACTCACCTCCAGTATTTGTTCCTCACAAAGAGGAGGGTTCTGCCTATGAAAGACACATGGACAGCAGCATCTACCTTGGTTACAGATGGGGGGAAGCCAAAGTCGCTGAGAGGTTTGGGATAACCAGGTAGGACAGTCCTTCCTCTAATCCCCCAGTAATGATCCCCTGTGATGTGAAAAGATAAACTCCAGACGGATCCCAGCATTTATGTCAAGCTTTTATCATCTCTAACAAACAAGAAAAAACTAAATAATTATTAACAAAAAAAATGTTTTACCTTCAAAAAAAAAAGTATCCTTATACTCATAAGCAGCATCAACTTTGCTGATTCCATGCCAGACAGTCTGTATTCTGTTCATACTGATGCCATCCCAGGAGCTGCTCCTCCTCCAGAAATATCTGTAAAAGGAGCAGTGGTCATACTGTAAAACCTTAATGAATGAATTTAACTTAACAGCTCTATCTAACGGACTATTATGTGTTTGTGAAACTTGCATGACTAAAACAAAAAACAGTGCATAGATGCCTCACCCATCTTTGAAGAAGTAAAGATTGCTCTGGCTGGAGGTTGCAGCATCAAAAATCAAGTTCCTGTTGCACCTGTCTGGAAAAGGTTCTGATGTGGGCCCAGGATCTGGTTCAGGTCTAGGTTGTGGATTTGGTTCAGGTTGAGCTGGTTTTACTCTGACTCCTTTGAGAGGCAAAAGACAAAGAAATGGCACTGGTGAAGATCTTTGAGTCTCAGTGTTTGTTTGTTTTTTTGGATATACTTTATTGATCCCCTAGGGGAAATTGTTTTTTTCACTCTTTTTTACACACACACACACACACACAGGCTGAAATGCATACTTCATGCACATGTGGACATGCAAAGGGGAGAGATGGTGGAATGATGGGGCTGCCATGTTACCAGCGCCCCATGAGCAGGTTTCGGGGTTAGGTTGCCTTGCTCAGTGCACAGGAGGTGAAACTGGCACCTGGCAGCTACCAGTCCACACTCCATATTTTGTGGTCTGTGGGACAAGTCCCTACACACTGAGCTACTGCCGCCCCATGTTATGTTATGTTATGTATTGTTGTGTATAGTGTGTATGTACACATGTTGACGGCAAAGATGAACTTCCATTTTATGCAAATGTAAACACTTACAAATAGCACAACTTGGAAAACTCTGTCCTTTTGTTAGGAACATTTTTATGACAACGAAAGTGGCTCTGGATTTCTGGCATGGCGGCTCAAGACAATTCAGAGAAAGACAAAACTTGTGTCCAATGAACCTAAAATGCAGACAGCAAGAGGAGGTGGTCCAAGACAGGAGAGAGAGGTGCCTCAGATTGGTGGTCAGTTGGACGACGAACGTTGTAAAGAGGTCATATCTTTGATGAACCACACGAGTGATGGAAAAATCATCCTGCAGAAAATGAAGGAGACCTTTGAGTATAGACAGCGCCTCATCCACAATCCTGATGAATCACACACCGTACTCTCAGTGTTTCCAAGGCTCCTGGACACACAGGGGCTGGTAATTATTGCCATATTTTCAATTCATTAGCTATAAGCTTAGCTTAGAAATGTAAATTCACCAAAAATTTCTTTCATTTCTCTGTTGCTGCAGATACACAAGATTTCAGGCTCTCTCTTTGGACCAGAAACATCTGCAAACTTCTTGAGAAATGGCATACATTCTATAAAGCAACGGTGATCAGGAGAAGCAGAGAGCCTGATTACCACACAGTCGCTCCTAAGAGTTTGCTGGAGCCGTCTGGCCAGCAATCAGGCACACGAATGATGATTGGCGCAGATTCAGAATTATTTTGATGTGGGGTTGTAGTGAAGGTATTATTGATACAAGTAGGATAGAGGATGATGCAGCCCCAGCTTTGAGAAAGCAGAGGAGTACCAGGCAGAGTATTTTTTGCCTGTTGAGCGTGCCTGGTCCACAGCAGTTCATGTGCTTCCATCGCCGGTACACATCTCTTCTATCTGCAACAAGTAGAGGGGTGGTGGGCGCAACTTCATCTACTGTAGTAATGACAGCTCTGACTCCTTCATAACTAGCAAGGTTTACATACAGCCTCATTTCAAATATATCTGAAGCTTATCCTTAACAGCTTCCTGTCCACTTTGGGCCGCAGAAAACCCTGAGACGAGTCAGAGGCAGTTGGTTAAAATTGTTCTGGGAGTTAATGTTAAAAAAGGAAAGAAAGCTTGTGATTGAAATAAAAACTGCGGCAAGACTGAATTTTTTTTTTCTTGACAGGAATGGGACCAGTTGATATGGCAATCTTTCCTGCTGGCTCCCTGCATAATCTTACCACCCTCAGCCTACCTAAAAAGAAAAGCACCGAAGATCAGCGGGGCCAGGCTCAGGCCCAGTGGAGCCATCTAGTGTGTGTTTCAGGCAAGGTATCGTACTCCGATGCTAGCAGTATTGCAATTCTAATTGGTAAATGTGGGCAGGCAGATCAAAAAGACAATATTTCAAATGTAACTTGTTACTTAAATATTTTTCCCCCCAACAGTCATGTTAGGAGCCGCTAGACGAAACATTACGTAGAAAGGGGGAGGGACGATGGACCAGCCATATCTTCTTGGAGTCTGGAACCTACAGGCAGGGGCCATCACACTTAGGCTACATTAGTGAAGACGCAAGAAAGCTGCATCCCCTGGGCCAGGGGAAACCATGTCATTGGCAGCTGTTGATGAACACTCTTTAAGGTGGCACTCTCGTTTCAGTGATAGTTAGATGATGCTGCCTCTCCCACCAAACATGTACACTTTCCTCCAGGACAACAGTCTAAATGCGTGTGGAATGGTTGACACAACTAGATAGAAAGTCCAAAGGTGAAGGAATTGAGAGCCAAGTTCATGAACAGGAGCTAAGAGCCAAGTTCATATAGCAATGTTTATGTGTACATCATTTGCATGATAGATAAACACGCAATTATGCCAGGCACAGCATAGCTTATTTTGTTTTTTGGAAAAAAAGTCTTGAGTCTACAGTAATTGTGTTTGCACATCAAAGAAAGCCTAATGGCAAAGAGTTCTTGAACTATGTATAGGTGTTATATTTGCAGATCCTTGCATGATGCACCTAGTGCATTAATTCAGCACCTTAAGTTTTTTCATGGGTTATACCCAGGTAAAAAATGTGTTGTTCTTTGTGCTCAAGAAGGATGTTCATTGCAGTTTAAAAGTTTTGCAGGTTTTAGAAAGCATTTAAATATTTGTCATAGTACTGTTAACATGGGAACAAGCAATGATGTAAATATGCAAACACATCAGTCAGACTTCAGTGAACAGAGCTCACAACAAGATGCCTCTGACATGGATCTAAATGTGACAAGTCAACCTTCATCATCTCATATGTCAAAAGATCAGGCAAAAGATATGTGTGCTTCAATCATAGCAAAGTTACAGGGCAGTGGTGTTGCCAACAATGTTGTGTTATCTGTTGTTGAAAGCATGGAGGAGTATGTTAGTGAAGTTCATGCAAATCTTAAAGAACAAGTGTTAAGTGCAGTGCCTACTGATAATCCCAGTAGAAGTGCAGTGGGAAGACATTCTTCAGGAAACTTTCAATTCATTCAGTGGACTTAAACACAAACTCTAAATGACTAAATATTTAGTGAGAAATGGGTGTTGTTGAACACTAGAAATTCACTTTCAAAAAGAAACAAAGTATCTGGAGTATATGAGCAGGTACCAGTAAATGACACTTTCATTTATGTACCCCTGTTAAAAACATTAGAGTTCATTTTCAAGAATGAAGATGTGTGTTGTCACATTAACAGATCTGTTGTTCTTGGTAGCTTATATAAAGATTTTTGTGATGGAAAATACTTCAAAAATCACCCATTATATTCAAAATTTAAAAATGCATTGCAAATCCAAATTTACTATGATGATTTCGAAACATCAAATCCACTAGGGTCAAAACAAGGCATTCATAAGCTTGGATGTTTATATTTTACACTCCGCAATTTACCACCACGTCTGAATTCTTTGCTGATGAATATCCATCTGATTTCTTTGTTTCACTCCCAAGATGCAAAAAAATATGGCATTGACAAAATACTTACTCCATTCGTAGAAGATGTAAAGGTACTAGAGCAAAATGGAATGAAAGTGTCATTTACTGAACAACTTGTCTATGGCACCATAGCACAAGTAACAGGCGACAACTTAGGTCTGAACTCAATTCTTGGTTATGTGGAATCTTTCAGTGCTACCTTCTACTGCAGAATGTGTCTTATTGATAGAGCAACCGCTCAAACAGTGTTTAGTGAAAATGATCCACGTGTGATGTTGCGCACTAAATTAACCAATGAGAATCATTACAACTATCTTGTCGAGAATCCAAGGGAAAATTCTTGTTTTGGAATCAAACGCAATAGTATACTCAATTCCTTAACATATTTCAATGTATCAGATAACTTTGTGTTTGATATAATGCATGATATTTTAGAAGGAGTAGCACAGTATGAGATTAAGTTGTTGTTTGAATATTTGAAACAGAATTTTATTTCTAATGAAAACATACTCCAACGTGTATATGCATTCAACTATGGCTTCATGGATAAAAAGAATCGTCCAACACACATAAACATGTTTTGTACTGGCAATAGTATTGGGCTGAATGCCAGTCAAACATTATGCCTTATTCGTAACCTTAATATTTGGAGATGTTGTACCAGAAGCTGACACACACTGGCATTTGTTGTTACTGTTGTTACATATTGTTAACATTGTGTTTTCCCCATGTATTACGGAGGGTATGACTATATTTTTAAAACATCTTATTGAAGAGCACCATAGATTATTCACCGATTTGTATCCTCAAAATAATTTGATACCAAAACACCACTTCATGATCCATTATCCTGAATGTATACGCCAAATTGGTCCTTTAGTACATGTTTGGAGTATGAGGTATGAGGCAAAACACAAATTCTTTAAGTCCAGTTTAAAAAACTTCAAGAACATAACCAAGTCCCTTGCAAAGAAACACCAAATAGCTGTTGCCTATCATTGGGAATCATTGTCTGCCAATGGTATTGAGTCTGGGCCTGTCAAATCGAAAATACTGACTGATGTTGAAAATGGTGATTTGATTTCAGAGCATTTTCAGATTGATATGTCAAGTGACATACATGAGACAACTTGGGTTAAACATAATGGTACTGAATATCACACTGGTCTTGTTGTTTGCACTGATGTTGTTAATGATATGCCAGTGTTCATGAAGATTATTTGCATTTTTCTGAGAAATGAAGTCTTTTTTTTGGTATCAGAAATGGAGACTATATTTGTGGAGCATTTTCATGCTTTTCGTGTTGTTGACAACATGCATAATGTTTCAGGTATTACACCTCATGATTTGAGACACTTTAAGCCCTTTGATGTCCAAAAGTCTTATGGTTCAGACTCATTTTTTTATATTGTGACAGACAGCTGCATTGTATAGGGCAAACTACAGAGCTATACCTCATGTTTTGGGCACTATTGTATAAAGTCACTGTACCGGGTGGTTTTAAGTGCCATTTTTGTTCAAAATCATTTGAAATCCTTGTTAAAGGAAAAATAAAATATTTTTTGTTGCAGTACTTTTAGGAGTGATTATTGTTAATCCCTGTGTACCATATACCCTGTGTCAGTAGCAAAGTAAACACTACTTAAGTGTACATTTAACACCACCAAGTGTTACCTGATTGTGTCTCTAATGGGTGAACGTTGAACATCAACTTGGTGTTCTTGTCATACATTGCAGTGTTAATATTTTACACTATAAGAGTTTGTTGGATAACACTGCCATAGTGTTAATAATTTTAACTAATTCAAAAGTGTTAATTTAACACTTTACCAGTGGTTCCCATATAAACCCTGGGAAAGTGTTAATTTTAACTCTGAGGGTGTTAAATTTGCGATTTCAAATTTGCTGTGGCAGTTCAGTGTCGCTGTGAAACAAGATTTTGGGTAGAATCCTTGTTGTAGCCCATTAAACATCTCTGTATTATTATCAGAAATCAGAGTAAGGCGGGTCTTCGTGGCATCTTATAATAATGACTTTGTGATTCTAAGTAAAAAATATTATGATACTATTTCAAAATATTGACAAAAGTATCTATTTATTTTGAAATACTAAGACATTATTTCGAGATAATAAGTCAATATTTTGAGAAAGTTTGTCATTATAATGATTTACAGAATCTTTTTTTTTCTCCCAGTCACATTAGCTCAAATGGGCTTTCATAGAATACAGATCATTTTGTAAAATAAAGAGTTTGTTTCCCAACACTCAGTGAGCCAATAACCAGGTGAATCTCTCCCATTCCAATGCCAAATACTACTATGAGTTTTGGGGATCCAAATACAGGGAATAGGATTTATATTTTACAAAAGCGTTTGTGACACCAATTTTATTTATCCATGTGAACTCATGGTGACATTTGTTCCACTTTCAGTGTGATTTAACTTATGTGGAATCCAGGAATTAGCAGCTGTGTCACTTTAGCTGTGTATAAATGAGGGATCACAACACATTACATAAGTCCACAGGAAGTGGAACAAGTGACCCACAGAAACAGATCTGAATTCTATTTATGGGTTATTTTAATGGAAAAAGAGAATCCTGTTGCAAAGATAAGTAGAACCAACAGAAGATATGTTTTTTGTGTGCTGCAAGTGCTGCTGGGATATCTTTTGTTGCATGTTTTTGTACACATTTAGTCATGATTATTCATATTAACCACCTCATGCCTTTACAGTTCACAAACTAAATGAGGCGCCAGTGTTCTGTTCACTGCATCTCATTTTATTTAATTCAGCTTTACTGTGACTGGATTTTTGTAAATGTTCCATATCTCTTTACTATATATGCCATGACCTCTGACCTCTGCATACGGATAACAGCATTGCATGTGAACCTCTCACATATCACCAGTCAGCATGCACACACTGCATAGATAGAGCTAAAGTGGAGGGAAGATTTACAGGCGATTTGAACCACTTTGCATCACTTATCTATACAGTCTGTAATCCAAAGAGATTAGCAGAGACGCTAAATGCTAGATTAGAGTCACCAAAGCTCTTCAAATGAGGGGCTGTGGAGGGATCTCTGTGTTTGGGATTATTCTTCACTTACTGGAACAATGGCATCAAGTGTGTTGCACTTCCAGTGTTCAACTAATTCAATAAAAAGTCATTCACTCAGCGAGCTCAGAGCAGGACAGGGTCAGAGGGCCTATGTTAGATCTGACATAAAGACTAAAGAAAATGTGTATGACTTCTTACTGAAAAACAAGTGAAGCATCACCTTTGTTAGGGTGGGATTTGGGAAGGGTCTGGTTTCAAAGAAAAGGTGTGGCAGTTTTTTTTATATTTTATAACAAAAGAAATAAAAACAAAAATAGTTAACATTTTTAAAGGATGCAATTTAAACAAAACAAAAATTAGAAAATGTTACATGTTGTCATAGTTACATGATGATTAAGGCTGAAAGTGAGAGTAATCTGGTTCCAAAATCTTGTGGTGAGGAGGTAGTTTGATATCAGTAACCTTCAGTAAAAAAGAACAGAGGCTCTACATCCAACAAAGGCCACATATCCTGTCATCTAAAAGCTAATCACAAGACAAGGCGCCATGGGATCTCTCTGATTCAAATCAGCGAGAAAAAAAACAATTCCTGTGTTTTTCTCAGTCAATCAGGGATGTGATAAGATAAGCAGTTGCCTAGGGCAGTGTTTTTCCAAGTGGAAGCTAGAGCCACCAGGGGGCCTCAGGAGGAGATAAGGAGAAGATAAGAAAAATACAGTTTAATTATTTATCCCCATTATTATGGGAATTATTAAAACATATAATTTATATTAATTTATAACATATAAAAATTTTATTTGCCATGCCCATCTTTTTAATGGCTTGCCAGTCAAAACATCATTCATCACATTAACTGTCACTGTTCACCTGGTAACAGTCTGAGCCTGACACAAAGTTGCGGCTCCTGAAATTTAGCTAGCTGGTGCTCACAAAAATGACACACACAATGTTCAGTCAGGAGCACTTTTGTCAAAAGAACTTTTATTCCAAAGCAGAATATTACATTTGACATTAAGATTTGAAATACAAATGTTATTAATAAAAGTAAGGAAATACTGTTTATTACTATTGTTAATTGTTTGGTTTTATTTTATATTTGCTGCAGTATTTTGCAAAATGGGGGCGATGCCCATGTAATAACAGCCAATAATGTAA